GATCCATGATAGTTCTAAACACAAGCTGGAATTGACTAGCATTGTCGCTTAGAGCAAGTTTAGGATATCCTCGTTGCGATACAAATCTACGGAATATATGCATGAATATTTCAGCTGATAAGTTTCTACCGGTTCTAAGTAAACTGCTCTTGTAGTAAAGCAGGTGAACAGAGCTATCCATCTTTTGACTATTCCAGTGTCATTCTTAATTGAAAGTGGTCCCAAATAATCAGGACCGACCTGTTCAAAGATTCTTGATTTTTTAATGCGCGACTCCGGTAGATTTGGCATTAACGATAGTTTGAATGGGTTTGCTTTCCATCGTTTACATGCCATGCATTCATTTATGGTTCGTTTTACTGCAGATCTACCGCTTGGTATCCAAAACTTTTGTCTTAATTCACACAGTGTGTGTCCAATTCCTGCATGGTAAAGCTCTTCATGTTTGTGCTTGATAATAAGTTTAGTAATGTGATTGCGGTTTGGTAAATGAATAGGAAATTTACTTTCCGTATCTAAATCTGCGTTTTCGATACGACTCTTAGATCGCCATAAGTTGTCAGTTTTATCGTAGCATAAATTCCAAGTATTTATTTGTTGCTCGTTTATTTTGTCAGATTGTGCTTGCTTGATCAATATCCATTCCGCTTTATCATAATTAGCTTTGGTCATAGAATCTTTATCTGGAGAATCGATTGCAACCACGGTATTTTTCCTTTGAGACATAGCTTGATGAATTTAAGAGCCTGGTTTTCAGTAATCTAGTCCATTTGCTAAAACGATTTGCATCTATGAAGAGAAAATTCTTTGATTTAATAATTCGTTTCATTTTTGTAATCGTTGCCATAATAGCTATACTGAATTCATTTTCTCCTGCATAACTGAATCTCCATTGTGGCCACTTAGTTTTTATCTCTGTTAGCCAATTTGGGCCTTTCCACCATGATTCATAATTTCGAAGTTTCGCCCGTGACATTCCTCTGGTTGCTACGTCTACGGGATTGTGCTCACTTGATATATATCGAAAGGTAAAGTTTGCCTTTCGAATTTCTTCAACCCTATTTTGAACGAATCGTGGAAGTAGTTTAGAATAATTTTTGATCCAAAATAATGCACATTTTGAATTTGACCACAGGGTTACAGGTATATCTTTCAATTTTTTGTTTTAATACGAAATGTGCGGCTTGTACTCCAATTAATACTGACAGCAATTCGAGTCTTGGTATTGATATTCCTTTAATTGAAGCTATCCGGGATTTGGCATATAATAGAGATGAAGTCCCTTTCATAGTTGTATTTCTTGTATTGAGGACATACACTGCAGCAACGTATGCAAATTTAGATGCATCAGTAAATACGTGTATCTCCAATTGATTTGCAGGATTTATTACGAATCTTGGTAAATCGATTATATTAGACAACCATTTTCTTATCATCTTATGCCATTGTTGTTCATCTTCTTGGGTTAAGAGTTGATCCCAAGTTCTGTTCTACTTCCATAAATATTGGAGAAATAGTTTGAATGAAATCATCGATGGTGTTAAAAACCCTAATGGGTCATATTGCGAGGCGACGAATTGTAAAATAGTTCTCTTAGTGATTTGTTTTTCGGTCCATGGTTTTAGTATTATACGAATGATATCTAAATCATGGATCCAGTTGATTCCAAGAAAATTGTTCTTTATAACCTTTGGTTTATCATAGTCGGCTATTCTTTCATTAAATTCTTCATCGTTAGAAAGAAATTCTCTGACATTCATTGCCACTTCACTCAAGATAATTTTTGTTTCTTCATATTTTATTAGCGCTTCTTCAATTCCATTTGCAGATAATGTGATATTGTCCACGTAGGTATTCTTCCTTATCTCGGAGGCTGCCTTATTACCATAAGTTTCCAGATGATAGTTTAGTGTAGCTGATAATAAAAAGGGTGATGAGATGACTCCGAAAGGAACTCTTTTAAATCTATAACACTTTATGTTCTCTTCTGTGACATCTTTGGTAATATCTTGCAACCAAAGAAATCTAGTAGAATCTCTATCCTCCGGATGTAATTCTATTTGTAAAAATACCTTTTCGATATCGGCAATTATTACTATTTCCATCATTCGAATCTTAGTAGTACTCCGACTAAATCCGGTAGCAATACTGGGCCTCTATATAAGACTTCGTCCAAACTTTTCTTTCCATGAAGGTATGCTGAAGCATCATACACTATTCTTAGTTTCGTAGTATTTTTGTTAGGAGTTAATACTCCATGATGTGGTAAGTAGTGTATGACGCCCATCATTTCATTGGTTCCTGCGTCCTCGATTATATCCAGTTGTTTCTGTTCTTCGATTATATTATTATATAGGCTAAGAATTGATTCTTGTTGCAATTGCTTGACCAAATTTTTCAGACGTCCTAGACATAGTCCAAAGTTGTTACTCAACTTATCCTTCGATTCTTTCCATGGCTATCTTACTTGATATCGGTTGTTGTATTTTGTTATAGATTTCTTAAATTGCTTCAGTGCTTTTTCATCGTCATCGGCATTAGGTCCTTCTTGTATCCTCGTGACTTCTAGTTTCAGAAATTTTCTATTTCTGATCTTATGGTTAAAATGGATATTGTGTTGGATGTATCGTACCTTTTTTACACAATTGGTTTATATCGCCACTTCCAGCAATCATTGGTCCAACTTTTGTGTGAAGTAGTGAGAATCCTGACTTTAGTTTTTCGATTCTTCCCAATTCCACAAATTTAAAGAAATAATCTGCTCCGATTAGGATGTCAGGTCGTTTCCAATAATTTTTTAGATTCATTGTGTGGTTGGCCATTGGTATTTTGACAACATGTAATTCATTAGTTAAATATTCGATGACATTGGCGTGTAATTTGATGGTCTCATCTGCATCAATTTTTACATTAAGTTGAGTTTGAGTGATTATGCGTAGCTTAGGATTCTTAATGCCGAAAGGAGCTAGTTTTAATTCTTGTTCATCATCTTCTATTAAGTCTAGTCGTTGAACTAGTTCCTTTGATATGAACGATAGCTGTGACCCAATATCAAATAATGCCAAGGCTTCTTCCTTTCGTTCTGGCAATAATGGGTTAAATACAGTTATTTCCTTGCATAATAGCAGAGTTTATTTATTTTGTTTTTTCGTTATCACATTCGTTTGAGCCACCATTGTCGGATTGTAGTTAATCGAACAATCTTCCAATTTGCTGATTTCTTCATTTGTTTGGCTCATGTTAAGACTTGAAGTTTTGCTCTGATGTAGTTGATTTCTTTTTTCACATAGCGCACTGTCATGAGCAGCTCTGCAGTAAAAACATTTTACCTTTCTTCTGCATTCTTCGCCTTGATATGTCTTTAGACAAATAATATATTTCCTTATTTCCTTGAGACGTTTCATTCGAGCTTTTACGGTTGGATATACTCGGCATTCATTGTCCCAGTGATCTTAATTACAAAATGTACATGGTCTTTAGTTTTGTTTTCTCCCTTTTTCGTTACTGAGTAAGGAATTTTCTTCTCATTATGAATTGTTGCTAGTGCTGAAGTTTCATTATATCCTTTTGGAATTTGTTTGTATTTAGACGAAATGGGTTTTCTTTCCACTTGAGTAGATGTGGATTGGTTTCTTACTTGTTCATTGACTTGGATTAAGTTCCCGAGAAATCTTCTTAGTTTTAATATTGACCATGGAGAATCGTTGGTTTTCTGATGGTATACTTTGTCAAGTATCCATCGCGGTAGTCGGCTTTCAACTACACTTTCTATGCTGGAGTGTTCTAAATTTTCACCCAGTGCTTTTAATTGTCGGAAGATTCTTTCCATTTTTTTTCAACGGCTTCAATCCATTCCTTTTCGTTTCGTTTTATGGATCGTAGTTCGTTGTATAATAATTTGGTTGTCATCGATGAGTCTCCATATTTTTCGGTCAATAATTTTCGCACAACTTCATGGTTCTGAGGGGCAATATCGAAACCTCTTACTGCTTGTAGTGCTGATCCTTTTAAACAGGAGATCAAGTAGTTTAGTTTTTGGATTTCCAGGACGGTTTGCGAGTGGATA